AATGAATCATAAATCTCCTCTATCCATTTTAATCCTACGCGTTTAGTAGTTAAGCATCGTGATTCCTCGCGATCGCAATATCCCCAGTCGGTCCATTTGCGCTTGGCCAATTGTTAATCGGCTAAGAGAGAAAGAGAGGAAAGAGAGAAGTCGATGAACGATCCGTCTGTTCGGTGCTCGTTAAGTATCAACCGAACAAATAATGCTGATAAAGTTTCAACGCGTATATTGCTGGTAAACACGTAATTGTATGCATATATATATACATATATATATATATATAAAGTACATATATGCCACATTAAAAAGGAGAAAGAAAGATCTTAGTATCTTTCTCACAGATGAATAATAATTTTATTTGACGAATGAAGAACATAAGGAAATCGGCAAGCACAATAATAAATCTTAACCTCACACTGAATAATATCTACTATACCATATTAAACTATCTATACTACTTTATTATATCACTAGCTACTGTTTCTCCTACTCGAGCGAGGAACTCTAATCTTTCCATATCAATGGGTTTCATAGTTTTAAGCCGGATCATAGCTACTTTTTGTAATTCGATGAATACCATTGTCCGGCTAATTTCGTATTTAAACGTTCAAGTATAATCGCGTTTACAATTACCTATGATATGTATATACGATACGTTTACGTATTACGACGTAATACGACTCGAATAAGATATTACAAAATGAATCAATGAGTGTGCCCATTGATCAATTAATTCCCGTTACAATTTTCTAACGTCATAAAACTTTGGAGAATTGTGTTTTAATTAAAAATAAAGACATTCTAAATTCGATATTGAACTTTCCCAACTAAATGAAATTATCTTATAATTAAATTATCTTATAGTATTAAACGAGTTCATTCGATAAAGCTGACTATGAATCCCTCTTCTCCATTATTCGTTCATCCTAATTTCAATCAATATCTCTATCTCTCACAAAATTATCGAGAGGAACGATCGATTTTTCTCAAAAGAAAAAAGAAAAAAAAAGAAAAGAAGAAAGAAAAAAAAAGAATAAAAGAAAAGTCTCAACGAATCGATAAAAGAAAAGAATGTAAGTGTATTTCATTTAAAAGTATTATATCTCTTGTAACATAAAAAATATAAATTAACGTTGTGCATAACGATACATAAGGAACGATCGAGTTAATCAATTCCAAAGGCACAAAGTGGTCGCACCACTCGAGGAATGGAATAGACGAGACGCGAGTTCCGTCTTGCGTTATCTCACACCGACGTGGGACGGGCAGAGCAAACCGCGTTGCAAAGTCGAACGCGCACACGCGCTCTTTCTCGCGCATAATGCGAATCTGAAAAGCCTATGAATCTAAATTGCGTGTGGAAGAAAATTGGACCGACTGTGTGAGCGAGCAAGCAACCAAGCAACCGACAGATATCCTCTCCTCCTCCCGCCGTCATGCCGTCATTAAACTCTAGCCTGACTTCCTTCTCCTTACCCTCGCTCCGAATTCCGATCCAGCAATCATACGATTAAATTTTAACGTGGGTTTATATATAGTCGAGGGTTACACATACAAATATACATACATACATATATAGATACATACATATACACATATATAGATACATGTATATATACGTAGACCTTTCTTGTGATTTAAACGGACGTCCAGGAGCGCAGTGATCCGTTCTTCTCTTTCTCTCTCTCTGTTTCTTTTCTTTTTTGCTATCTATACTCTTTTCTCTCTCTCTCTCTTACATTTACACATACACACACACACACACACACGTACACACATGCGTTAATCGCAGGGAATGTCAGTTTCGTCATTGTGCTTCGTGTTCTGCGCGCACACCATAGGCACAATGCAACAACGACGACAACGACGACGACAACGACAACGACAACGACGACGAGAACAGTTGCGTGTTCGATGCATCGTAGACACGAATGACAAGAGTACAGAGAGAGAAAGAGAGGAGAGAGGGAGAGAGAGGATATACCTTTAAATGCCGTCGTGGGAACGTCATATTCTGCCAGAAGTAAAGCCGATAAACGGCCTGGCGGCCTTGTTATAACTTCTCATTCTCATCTTTGTCTAAATTTAATATATATAAATACCTAATATATATATTATGTATATATTATATATATATATTATTATATATAATATATATATATATATGTATTAAGTATGTGTGTGTATGAATAAAAAAAGATATAGTTTTATATTTCAATTTCGATTTTAATGGACGAAAAATTACGAATCATGGACGAGAATATCTTTGAAACTTCGATAATAACAAGCCACGCTATCCTGTCGCACGTGGGTGAAGAAACTTGTTTTGCGAAAAGAATCTTCAACTCGTATGTAGGTATATATATATATATATATATATATATATATATATATATACTTATATATATAAAAAGAACAAGAGACAAAGAAAGAAAGAAAGAATCAACGAGAAGATAGATTTTCGTTACGTTAAGTACTTCCTAAGCAGATAAAGGGAACGTAGGCGTGTACCATTCGCTATTGTCCTTTATTCATATGCAGAAATTTTTAAATAGCCAGCGCTTTTATCTCGCTATTCGATCGCTCGTTTACATCGAAACCAATTACCGCGCTTAACTTTGAATTACATAGCATTATCCCGAACGTTTAGGCGAATATCTTGTTACTTCTATATCGATGTATGAATACACCATATACGTACACATATATATATATATATATGTATATATCTATTTGTAAGATATAAACTATGTGCATATATATATATATACACGCTTAAATATGCGAGCTATGCACACGAGCCTGATATGGAGAGAGAATCGATATAATTTAATATGCATATACACGAATCTATATTTGTAAGTCTACGTTATTATACAATCATGAACACGTACAAACATACGTGTTCTATATTTATTGTGCACGAGTACGCATAATAATCGAGGGTAGAGAAGAATCGTAGAAATATTTTGCACGCTTACACGTTTCAATAGTTTCGCGAAAGAAGATAGAGAAAGCAGATATTTATGTTTGTACGTGTATGTATGCATATATATATATATATATATATATATAAATGTATCTATAGATATCTGATTCCAAAGATAATGATGATAATAAAGATATTATTTTCTACCATCGAAATAAATTATGATAGAAAGCTGAATACTCTACTAAGTTAACAACACACATAACTGAGAAGAATTCTTGTAATTACGATAAACGAGCACGTATATATATCTACTTATAGGTAGATACGTGCGAACAACATTCAGTCATCTTATTTAGAAATCGTTAATGATCTATCAAGAGAGAAACACGCGATGCGACGACGAAGAATATATCTATCAATGAATTATATTTCAGGAATGTATCGTTACTTATTATTCCACGTATACTTGATGAATTATTGTTAAGATTCCTATTTTCTCTCTCTGTCTCTATCTTTCTCTCTCTATCTCTCTCTCTCTCTCTCTCTCTCTATCTATCTATCTATCTTTTTTACGAAAAAAATCACAAAACTTCTGATATAATTTTTTATAGGTAACAAGAAATTACGAGACATTCCAATTAAATATATTTTACTCCATATGATATTTGATTGGTAATTAAATTATAATGATATAGAGAAAATTAATTACAATTTTGTATATGTGTACGTGTATACGATTATAGTTAGCACCATCCAAAAAGAAAAAAAAAAAGACCGGATATAATAATATATTACATCCTCCGGTATACAACCAACGACTACTTGAGATACACCGTTAATCCATGGAATAGTATGAGCTAATCGATATGCATGCTTGTCGTATACATTGCGTAATATGGCCAACGATGAAGGAGAACGCAGGAAACGTGAACTATTTTTTCCCTCCTTCTCTTCCTACCCTTCACCCTCCCTTTTCCCGTTTTCCTTTTCCTCTTCATCGTAGATGTGTCACGAAGTTGACGGACGGACTCGTTACTGGTTGTACCAAAAAAAGATAAATGTCGGTTCGTATATATTTAATTAACGTTCATTCTATTCAACGTACATACGTATGTATATAACGTCTGGATATATTATATGTAACTATGTATATGCATGCTCTACATTACGTATTACGCGTATAAGATGTATATTAGAAATCTTGGCAAAGGTGTTAGAGAAAATTGTGCCGTTGGATCGCCGCGGATAATGGAGCTCGTTTATGAGATTTCCAGTTCCACATCCGCGCTTCTTAATTTCTGAGCGTGTTTGCTTGAAATAACAGGATAAATGAATAATAATGATAATAATAAAAAGAAAGAAAAAGAGAAAGAAAGAAAACAAAAAAAAAAAAAAGGAAAACAAGAGAAAGACAACCAATCACGAAAGATATTTCAATACAAATATCAATGGATAATATCATGTTAGTAATGTGAAAACAATCCCTTTCTAATATTGCATTGGCAAGTTAACTTTTAAGATATCATAGATATCAAGAAGAGCGATGGAGAAAGGAATTGTTATTAATAAGACACAAGGTCTTAAATGAATATGAACTGTTCAAGCAGAAACCGTTCGTCTAAAATATGATAAGAAATGTACGGTATTACTCTATGGTTTTAACTATGAAGGAAACTTCAGGCGATTAACGAGCATTGAACTTTATCTCAATATACTTCCTCGAACTTCATTCTCTCAGTTTCTGTTTCTCTTAACGACAGAATGCGAGAGAGAGAGAGAGAGAGAGAGAGAAAAGATAAGAGAAAACAAGCTTACCTTAGTCTGGGCACGGCGCCAAGGAAATTACGCGAATTTTCACCTTCGACCTTCGGTGACTATACATCGGCGTCTCGATAGTAGTAACAACAATACTACGCACAGACAAAACTACTACATTCTAGTAGTATAATAGTAATAGTAATACGTAATAGTAATAGTAGCGAGTGTCTCGTGTGGGATTTGATTTAGACAAATATATATACATATGTATGTATGTATGTGTGTGTGTGTGTGTGCCTTATAGGAAGACACATACGTCATTGCTTTCGTGTCTTTCCATCTCGAAGCGGAAACGAAGTGCGACGACGGCAATAGCGACGCCGACGACGACGACGACGACGACGACGACGACGAGGATGACGACAAAGGTGGGCTTAAAGTGAAAGAGGAAGAAGAAGGGGAGGAGGAGGAGAAAGAGAAGGAGGACACACGTGTTACATACATTCAACCTCAGCATGCAGTCCGAGCCATCGGACACGTCGATACGTTGAGGTAGGCCGGCCACCGACCTTTCTTTTTCTCTTTCGCTCTTACGCAGTCTAACATCTCTGTCTGTCTGTCTGTCTGTCTGTCTATCTATCTATCTGTGTCTTTCTCTTTCTATCCTACTACTACTAATGCTTCTTCTAATTCTCTTTAGAACCCTTTTTTACCTCTTCCTTTCTTGATCCTCTTCCACGTTCTCTTTTACACTGCTGAATTATTCGATCGTTGAACTCTCTCTCTTTCTCTCTCTCTCTCTCTCTCTCTCTGTCTCTCTCTCTTTCTCTCTCTCTCTCTCTCTCTCTCTCTCTCTCTCCCTCTCTCTCTCTCTCTCTCTCTAACTCCAAAGATCTTTCTAATAATCTTTCGAAAAATCTTTTTTAAACGTGACGTCCAAATTTCGCATTATCATGATCATGATTCTTATAAATATCTAACGTTCATTAGTTTTTTTTTCGAAAATAAATCATAATTTTGAAGCTTTTATAGGTATTTTAAACCACAATAATTTTTACGTTGTACCTATGTATATACATATATGTATCTATATACATATCTGGAACGAACTAAAAGAGACTCGGACAGGTTTATCGCTATTGTCGTCGTCTTCCTCAATTTCGAGCATGCGATTCACCCACGCAAAGAACCTTTTGTGCCTGTCTCGAAAAGCTAGAGACTTATCGTGCTTCTCACTACGATGCACACCCACCAATGCTCACTACCACCACCATCACCCCCATCCCCATTCTCTTCTTTTTCTTCTCTTCTTATTTCCCCTTGTACTTTTTCAAGAATCGATGCGAAGATCATCGAAGATGTTTCTGTAAACACTTGGATGCATTCGCATGGTGCATCAAAGAGAAGTACTCTTTATCTCTCTCTTTCTCTCTCTCTCTCTCTCTTTTTCTTTCTCTCTCTCTCTCTCTCTCTCTCTTTCTTCCTCTCTCTCTCACTCTCTCTCTCTCTCTCTCTCTCTTTCGATGGGCATCGAGCCAAGAGAACTTGTCTTCGTTGTGCAAACTGCACTTATGAATGCACATACGACGACACCTCTTTTATACACATTGAAAGCAGTAACAAAATTAGTTAGTTTTGATCGAGCATTGGAATGTGTATTTAAGTAATTGAACAAATTTTTCTATTCATCAATAAGAAATTTTCTATTTGAAATTTTCTTCACATTTCATTTTATTTATCTTTATTATCAATTTATTTTATTTTTATTATTCACTTTTATCATTATCTATTTAATTACCTTCTTTTCATATTGTTTTGTTTTAATCTTTAAACCTTTGGTCAGTACTAATGTTCCTGATCTCTTCTGCATACAGAAATACTACAAAAAAAAAATAAAAAAAAAAAAAAAAAAGAAAAGGAAAAAGAAAAAGAAATAAAAAAAATAAATTCTTACATGTGTTTGCCTAAAAGATCGAATAGGCTTATCTCTCTTAGGAATATAGATAACACTCGTATATACATCGTACATCCACATAAATCATTTTATCACTCCTCTCTCTCTCTTTTTTTTCTTTTTTTCTTTTTTTCTTTTTTTCTTTTTTTCTTTTTTTCTGTTTCTTTCTTTCTTTCTTTCTTTCTTTCTTTCTTTTTTATTTCTTTCTTTCTTTCTTTCTCTTTCTTTCTTTCTTTCTTTCTTTCTTTCTTTCTCTTTCTCTTTCTCTTTTTCTCACCCTTCGATGTCTCTCTTTTTCCCACGCTAATTCTTCGACGATACACACGACACGTGTTTCGTCCTCGAACCTTTTTCATACCAGACGATAAGTCTCGAAAGCATCCGAACTCTCTCCATTTCTTCCGTCTAGCACATACACCAAGTTAAGGCTCGACGCAGTCTAAATATAATCGAAATCTTCTATAATTAACCGGTCGAGATCGATAAAAATACCATCGCATCGGCGACGCTGGGATAAAATTATCTTGACACTTGCTATCGATATATTCCTATTTTTCTTTTTCTCTCCTTCTGTCTCTATTTTTTTAATTCTTTCGAAATTTTCTTCTTTCTCCCTCTCTCCCTCTCCCTCAGTCTTTCTCTCTCTCTCTCTCTCTCTCTCTCTCTCTGCTTCTCTCCACGCTTGTGCATCGAAACAATGAGGACACTGTCTTTACAAAGTCGATAACCGCTTCGACGAGATACGTACTTACCACTCTGTCTCTCATATAACAAACGGCACGAAGGAAACAGCTTGTTTCAGAAAGAGAAGAAGAAAGGAGGGGTGAAACACAACTGGACGCATGATTATAGCATTGTTGAACGGTATCTGTGATAAGAGATAATTCAAAGAGAAAGTGCCTATATATATAGAGAGAGAGAGAGAAAGAGAGAGAAAAAGAGAGATAGAATGTTCAATCGATCCATGTTATACCGTTGAAAATATTTTCACAAAAAAAAATCTAAAAATGCCCATTTATTTCTTAAAATAATAATCGAACGAAATGAACAAGAATCGTTTATGTTTGAAATATTTCGATACATTTGTATGGACCGATTAGGACAGATCCTATATCTATGCACATGTAGTATCCATAATAACAGAAAAAAAAGGACAGATACAAAGAGAGAAAAAGAGAAGATAGACATTAGAACGCGTTCATTCTTGAAAGGGTACAATGAACCTCTTGAAAAATTTTGTCTTCAAGTTCGAAGAATGTCAAGTCTAGAGAAAGAGCTAGAGAGAAATAGAACATATCTATGTATGAACATACATATGAGAGAGAGAGAGAGAAAGAGACAGACAGAGAGAAAGAGAGAGAGAGAGAGAGAGAGAAATGGAAGAATCTTCGAGGCGTCCAACCACGATAAGATAAGCCGGTAATGAGGTTCAATTGGAAGATTAATTAATTAAGATCCGCGGCAAAGGGGATAAATTGGGTACATTACGGTGGTATGTCGGCACCGAGAGAAGAAGTCAAGCTTAAATGTGTACATGTGTCAGTGTTCGTGTCTCTGCATGCACACGTGTGTGTGTGTGTGTGTGTGTGTGTGTGTACGTGCGTATGCGTGTGTGTGAAGGCGGGAAGGAAGGCCAACGATACGCCTACACGAAGAAAGAAGAAAGAGTGTGGAGAGTGAGAGGAGAAGGGAAAAAGATTTATGACAGCTGCGGGTTAGAGTCGCGAGTATACTTCAAAACGACAACTTAACAGCTACGATGATGACGATGATGTAGGGTAAAAGTAGTCGAACGAACTTCGAAACGAACCACCGATGCATGATCATTTTCTTACTCTTTTCTATGAACCGTCGTAAAATCTCAAGATATCACAGAAACGTTTATACATTACATATATTTTATCTCCATGAATAACGAGGAAAAGATTCGACCTTATTCCAGCGATTAGAAATGATTAGGAATAGAGAACCGATAGAGCAAGCAAAATACGATCCTATTTATAAAATTGTATTTATTCCACTGAAACGGATCAACTATTTGATTGTAACATCCAAATGTTTGATTCATTCATTTTAATTGTTAATTACTACTTACGTATCCAATAAGTTTTTTTATTTTACACACTTGCAGAAGATTCAATTATAAGATAATAATTATTCTTTAAAAACCTTCCTATTTGATACAACGACAACGGCAAAGACTTGCCATCGCGATTTGACTCATCTTTGTCCTCGTTGTTGTTTCTGTCTACGTTTTTTTTTTTCTTCTTTTTTTATTATTATGCGTGACGCATCGCTTGCATAAAATATTGGATGTTAAAATAAATATCTTTTCTTTGTCTTTTGGCCACGAAGAAGAATGCACTTTAATTAATTGTCAACTTGCCAATTATAGTCTCGATCGTCAACGTCCTTTTTATATCTCTTCAAATGTACACTTTCGAACGATCCCATTGATTCTATCGAAATAGAAAAAGAGAAAAAAGAAATAGAAAAAAATACAGGTGAATATCTCATTGATTGGACTATCTTTGTTTTTCAAACGTTAATTCGCAAAATTAAAGAATATCTTTCAGAGATATATATCTATATATAAAAAAAGAAATCGTTGTTGAAACGTGAACTTTTCGACGCCGAACGATCTCGCTTCTACGTCGACTTCTTCCTTGCCTTCTCTCTTTCTCTTTGACCGTTTATATTTAACCCTCCACTAACACACGAACACAGAACAGAACAGAACAGAACCAACGTGCGTATACAAATATACATCTATGTAATATGTATATATATATATATATATATATATATACATATATAAATATATGTATAAGTTTGTGGTTGCAACGCATCCGGTGGCATATTTATGTTGTACGCTGGGTTTCGAGTTCAACTTCGTACTTTCTAAACTTTTACTTTGCAATATATGTATGTACGCGAGAACCAAAATGATTCGTCAGAATATCACAAAGAGCTTTTATTATTATATATTGTTCGACCGACCGACTGACCGACCATTAACAATGTACGAAGAGATCAAGAAAGATTAGAAATTCATACGACTTTTTTATTCCGAAAATATCATGAGCACATATCATCTACTTTTTTTCATTTGAGAATTTCATATTTTCCTTCGAGAATATTTGAATTTCGCTCAACAATGTGAAAAAAAATTATTCGTGCAAGAATGCACAATCGGTCTGGCACCAAAAATAATACTGGTAATAATCGTAGAATGCAACCAACAAACCGTTTAAGAACTCTCATGTTACTTTGTTCATCTTTCATACTGTTTCTCAAAATTTACAAGGAAAATTATGAGATCGACAGGTGTCGATTACTCATACGCTTTGTGCCGTGAACTGCACATTTTCGTTGTAAACAACCAAAAAAAAGAAAAAGAAAACAGAATAAAAAGAAAAAATATTCCGTTCGAAGTATATATATATAAAAATTCTCTTAATCTTTTATAATACATGATTTTTTAAAACTAAAAATGAAAACGAAAGAAAAAAAAAGAAAGATATAAAAATATAAAATTGGCTATAATAATGAAAAAAACAGAATTATAATTTCATTTTTACAAAATTTAATGAAAAGC